ACCCTCTTCCACGCGCCGCTCGCGCAGGTCTGGGGGCGGCGTCGCCCTCTCCAGCATCTACACCAAGTCCTCACAACTTGGCTATACTCGGGGTCGTATTTCGATGTGCAGTACCCTCGCTCGTCCGCATCGAGGGGGCGCTCAACTCATGAATGGTCGTGCGGCGTGTGCGGAGGAAGCCCCCCCCACCCCCCTCCTCCCCCTCCCCTCTCCCCCACTTATCTGGCAGCTGTGTGCACCCGAGAGGCGCCACCATGTCCCCCCCCCCCCCCCCCCCTGGCACCCGCCGTTTTGCCTGGACCCGCCCCGCTTTTTGTCGCGCTCGCGCAGGTCCGTCGCCGAGGCTGTTGCCGGCTGCCGCGCCCCGCACACGCGCACGCACGCACGCACGCACGCACCCCCCCCCCCCCCCAAACACACACTCACCCCCCCACCCCGCCCCTCTATATTCTCCGGCGTCCAATCGCCCGCGACATGAACTTGAGCCCGCTCCCTCCCGCTCCCTCGGGCGCCGCCCTCGCAGGCTCAACGTCCGAGCTTTGTCCCCCGTCACTCTCTCCTCTCATTTCAGACCCCCCACTCATGCGCATAGCTGTTCGCACTTCCGACCAATGCAAGCCCCTTAACTCACCCGTCACCGTGCCGCCTGCCCCCCACCTTTCCCCTTCCGCAGACAATGAAGCTCATCCTCGCAGTCTTTGGCGCGTTACTCCGTCCCACGAGCGCGTCGGCGCAAACTACCTTTGACAACAGGCCCGCCCTGCAGACCGCGGCCGACCTGTGGTGCAGCGACGAGACGGCCGCCCTGGCTGAGTACGGCAACATCGCGGACTGGGACGTGAGCTCCATTACAGACATGACCTGTCTGTTCAGCGCTTACTGCGGCGGCTCCGCGACCGGTAAGAGCACGTGCAACCCCGACATTGGGTCGTGGGACACGTCTGCGGTTCTCTACATGCGCCGCATGTTCTGGGGCGCCTCCTCCTTCGACAGGGACATCTCCTCGTGGGACACGTCTGCGGTTCTCTGGATGGAATACTTGTTCTGGGGCGCCTCCGCCTTCGACAAGGACATCTCCTCGTGGAACACGTCTGCGGTTTTCTTCATGAGCGGCATGTTCGACGGCGCCACCTCCTTCGACAAGGACATCTCCTCGTGGGACACGTCTGCTGTCCTCTACATGACCCGCATGTTCTACGGCGCCATCTCCTTCGACAAGGACCTCAGCTCGTGGAACGTGTTGGCGGCCCGCCGCATGGCCCTCATGTTCAACGGCGCCTCCTCCCTCAGCGACTGCAACAAGGCGCTCATCCAGGCCAGCTTCAGCGTGCAGACGAGCGCGTGGCCCTCCTACTACAACTCGTGGGGCTCCTTTGCGTGCCCGCCACCCCCGCCGCCGGCCTCGCCGCCTGCATCGCCGCCCTCCCGCCCCCCGTCCGCCTCGCCGTCACCGCCGCCTCCCTCCGCCTCGCCCTCTCCGCCGCCTCCCTCCGCCTCGCCCTCTCCGCCGCCGCCGTCCGCCTCGCCGTCGCCGCCGCCTCCCTCCGCCTCGCCGTCGCCGCCGCCTCCCTCCGCCTCGCCCTTGCCGCCGCCTCCCTCCGCCTCGCCGTCGCCGCCGCCTCCCTCCGCCTCGCCGTCGCCGCCGCCTCCCTCCGCCTCGCCCTCTCCGCCGCCGCCGTCCGCCTCGCCCTCTCCGCCGCCTCCCTCCGCCTCGCCGTCGCCGCCGTCGCCGCCGCCTCCGTCCGCCTTGCCGTCCCCGCCGCCTCCGTCCGAACCGTCGCCTCCGTTCGCACCGTCGCCTCCGTCCAAATTCGCCGCCCCGCCGTCGGCCTCGCCCTCGTCCATCGGCCCCATTGTGGGAGGCGTCGGCGCGGGGTTCGCCGTGCTCATCCTGCTGTGCCTCGTCCTCCTCCGCCGCCGCATTAAAGCCCGAGCTATGATGTATCTTATTCGGACCCCCCCCTTCGGGCTTCTCGTTTTTCGTGCCAAACCAGCGCGATCTCGGCGGGGCGTCAGCGCCTCTCGGAGGGGCATCATGCGCTCCCGGGGCCGCCCGACGGCGCGGGCCTCTTGCCGATGGACCCAGCCGAGGTGCCCGACCAGTCGCAGCCGCGCCGACGCGCTGCGGCGACCACCAGCCAGCTTTTCAGCGCGGTCGAGGATGGTGCGCCGAAAGAGTAGACAGTCTCCGGTCCATCCGGAATTTTGTCGTTTTAGTTAGCACTGCTGCTGCAGACAGGGCCCGCGTGACCCCATGCCCTTCCCAGATCTCGTGTCCTGAGGCTTGGCGCCACCCCGGTGGCCGCCCACAGGTGGCTGACGAAGCGCCACTCATCGCTGCTTTCGCGCGCCTGCTCCACAGAGGGCTCCTGCGGCTCTCCCTCGTCGCGTGACCGCCGCCGACAGCATCTGCTCGGTCGTGCCCGCCGGCGCGGAGCTGCGCCACGTCGAATTGTTCGGCGGCTCGACCGCCGGCGCGCCCACCCTCGCCTCCTGCGCGCCTCACACTCAGTTTTCACCTCGCGCGCGGCCGACAAAGTGAGCTCACGACCACCTCCCCCTCCCTCCTGTAGGTGGGCCGCCCCGCGCTGGCGGGAAGAGGCGCGCCGAGCCATCGGTGACGTCCTGGCGAGCTCATGTCCCCCCAAAAGGTCGCACCCGCCCGTGGCTCCGCCGTCGGCTCCGCCGCGAGCGGCGACGGTGAGGCCGCCGGGGCTCGCCTATACCGGCTAGTGTGGAGCCCTCAGTGTAGTTGCGTGTTGTACTAGTGATGCTGCACTAGGCGGCCCGTTTTTAGCAAAAACCAGATACCACATCGCGTGTGGTCGTCGCAAAACCGCATCTTCGCCCGTCTGGGACCTCTTCGTACGGCTCCAAAAACGGCTCCTTAACGACGACTACGCGGCCCGGCGGTCGATCTGCGCCTTCTCAGCGGTGGAGGGGATGTGGGCGGTACGTGCGGGCCGCGTGCTGCTGCGACGGTTTGACGAGTGCGACTCCCAGCGTCGACTCTGCGACCCCACGGAGCCTCTGCTGCTCCGGGGGGGGGGGTCTGCAGACCACCCGGCCGAACTTCAGAGTGGCGGTGCTCCTGAAATACCGCTCAAACGCCCACGATGTTGTGGAGGGGACATATGCTGATGATCCTGGCCCGATTGGTTCGCTCAGAAAGCTTCTGGGCGGTCGCTAAGGTTCGCTCCCCGCACACCGGCCCCGGAATAAGATACATCATAGAGCGCACGCGTCGAGTCGCGAGAACGGCCCCGGGTATATTTAGACACCCTCTCCAAGTGCACCCTGGGTGTGCAGACCAGTGTGCCTCCGGTAAGCGGCCAGGCAGCTTCCCACTTAGGGCAGGGAACCCCCAGCGACGCTAGTGTGGCCTCGGTAGCCACAGCTAGAAACGCGATTCCAGGGCAGGGGGGAGTGGATTCTAGAGCTCCAAGGAGGACCGCGGGGAGAGGAAGGGAGATTGGTGTACCGGTTTTTCGCGCTAGCAACTTTTTTCTTAAAACGGCCAGGGCCCACCCTTTTAAGCCCTAGGGCTCGCCGCCGCCGCCCGCCGGTGCGGGGGCTTTTTCAGAGACTCGACTCCGGACACCGCCCCCGCGCCCGGGCACAGACTCCCTACCCGTCGGACCCCTCTCGCAGAGCAGCCCACACACAGATCACGCACGCAGGGGGGGATATGGTGATTTTTGAATGAACGCCTCGCGCAAAACCACCGCTACCATGCCACAAGAAGACCCTTGTGGGCTATCCAGAACACCTAAGATCATGCCTTAGCTCTAAAGTGGGCCCGAGATACGCCAGCTAAACCCCGGATTTTTTCCGGCAGCGGGCCAGCCAGTGCCGGAGGAGCTCCATCTCGGTCTCACCATCTCGCTCTTCGTTGTACTCGCCCCAAAGAAGGCGGTTTTCCTCCCAGCGGCCGGGGTACCACTCGTGCCACCCCTCCTCTCGCCACCAAGGCCGCCTCCCGCCGAAGAGCCCCTTGGTCCGCTCAGTGTCGCCCACGCGCACGCAGTAGTCGTCGGCGAGCCGGGCCAGCCACGCCATCTTCACCTTGAGCTCGATCTCCTCCTTTGACTCCGTGCCCGACTGCTCCGCCTCAATCTTCAGCTGCAGCGCCGCGAGGGCCCTCACCTCGGGGTCTGGGTGCCGGAGGCAGGGATGATCGGGCGCTGCCGGCTCGACTGCCGGCTCGACCTCCCTTTCCGGCGAGTTGTCGGGCGCGGCGGGCGGCTCCGGCGCCTCGGTGGCGCCCGTGGGCTCGACGGAGGCAGCGGCCGCCTCGGCGGCCTTGCGCCGCTTGCGCCTCTCCGCATCCCCCGTCAGGCCCGACTTCCTGCCCATCGCGCAGAGTTGTGTACCGTTCCTGAGGGCGGAGGTGGCGGCAAGGCTTAGCACCGCGCTGCGGTGCAGGTGTGGCACCACGGGAGGAAGCTGCATCAATCGTCAGCGGAGCCGGGAATGCGACACCTCGGAGCTGGGAGCTACACAAAGAATGGCGGCCACCTGCCCGACCCATAGCAGCCCGATAAAAAATTATTCCCAGACTGAGCCATAGGGACCCTATCACGCCCTACCGCCCGGCGACAGACTCCCTACCCCTCTCAGAGCGCAGACACAGTCACAGAATGGCGCGAGCGATGTCGGTGGGGTCGCAGCGAGAGAGGGCGCGGGCTGCGCCGTGCGGTGGCTGTGCTATTCGGCGCTAATGTGCGAGTCCAACCCGCCGGCGAAGGCGGCGGCAGGCGAACATCACAGCGTCTTCATCGACGGCGAGGGGCGGCTCTCGTCGTGCGGCTGTGAGGCAGTCTTCCCAGGGCTGCTCGGGCATGGCGACGGCGCCGTCTGGAGCTGGGGCGATGGAGGCGTGGGCCAGCTGGGCCACGGCGACCTGCAGAACCAGCTGCGGCCGAAGAAGATCGAGGGACGAGGCCTTGGCGGGGCGGCGCGTCGTCGCTGTGTCGGCTGGAGCATCCCACAGCCTCGCCGTCACCGCCGACGGTGCCGTCTGGAGCTGGGGCAATGGAGGCCAAGGCCGGTTAGGCCACGGCGACGAGCAAAACCAGCTGCTGCCGAAGAAGATCGAGGCCTTTGCTGGGCGGCGCGTCATCGCCGTGTCGGCTGGAGTCGTGCACAGTCTCGCAATCACCGCTGACGACGCCGTCTGGAGCTGGGGCGGGGGAGGCTCTGGCCGGTTGGGCCACGGCAACGAGCAGCGCCCGCTGCTGCCCAAGAAGGTCGAGGCCTTGGCTGGCCAGCGCGTCAACTCCGTGTCGGCTGGAACATGGCACACAGCCTTGCCCGCACCACGGATGGCGCTGTCTTTGCCTGGGGCAAGGGCGAGACTAGCTGCCTAGGCCACGGAGAGGAGTTGCTGTCGTGCTGACGCACGCCGCTCACGATTCGGTCCTCCGGTGGCAGAGATCTCAACGGAGTTTGATCTCAGACATGGCGAGAGCGAGTCTTTCAGGGCGCACTGGCAGGCCTCGCACTCCCTAGATAGATAGATAGGAAGGCGAAACACAGTCCGACCAACGACTGGGACACCAACGCGGTATTGCGCAGTACTTGGAGCACTTGGAGTGCAGTCGGTAACCTCACATCCAGGGCCGAGGAGCTAAGAAGCGCACCCAGCGGGTGTGTGTGTGTGTGTGTGCGTAACGACGCTGCTAGAGATGCCTTTCGGGTCCCAGAGATAAAACTTCTGATGCCATGCGTGACCTAGTAGTGTCCCCAGCTATGGGCGTGTCCACGTTGGAGCCAGGTGTGGTGTGGACGCGAGAATAGCTCCGCCGTTCATGGAGGCAACCGATGCGAGTCGACTGGTGTGTGTCGTCGTGGTTTCGTATCAAGAATACTCACTCACACACACACGCGCACCCAGCGGGCCGGATGATCGGTGTCGGGAGAGAGAGAGAGAGAGAGAGAGCTCGGTGTCGGGTTGCGGGCAAGAGAGCCCTAGCCCCGGGGGTGCGCGTTCGCAGGGAAAGGGCCTTAAAGTAAACACGGGTCTCCGAGGGTATGTATGTATGGTGTGAGTGAGTATTGTGCACACACACACACACTATGTATGGTAGGTAGAAAGGTGAAGAACAGCCAGGCTCGGACTGGACACCAACGCGGTATGGGTGGACGCGAGACAGATGATGACGACACGCACGAACGACACACAGACACAAACAAGCTCACAAGACACACAGCCAGCTGGCTGCCACACACCCTGAGTTGGCGTATACATAACTCAGGGCCACATTCTTCCTGTCGCCCCCCCCAGCACTCCAAGGTGCCAAGAGAAACAAACACTATGTATGGTTTGTTGCGCTATGCGGGAGTTGTTTTTCTTCTCACGGCTTGCGGCGGCTCCCGGCAAAGTCGCTCCTTCGGTCTCATGGCCGCTGCGATTTCGACCAACGAGCAGCTCGCCAGCCTGCAGCGCGACTTTGCACCCCACCTGGAGCTGCAGCCGCCGACAGAGCGCGTCGCCTGTAGTCTGCGGCCGCGCGCCAACCCGACAAACTACTCGGACCGCAAGGCGTTTGACCCCACTGGTGTGCTGAGTGCGGACGAAGCGACGGGCATGGCGGAGCTGGAGGCGCTTGAGGCGCGCGGGCTCGAGCTCTGCTCGGCGCTGTACACCTACCGCTCCATCGCGCGGGCGCTTCCGACCGCTGGCGGCGACGACGAGAACAAGAGGGCGATGTACCTCACATCGTTCGAGGTGCTGCACCCGCACGTGCAGCGCGTCAAGGAGCTGATGTACTACAAGGACGACGCCGTCGCCAAGTTCTGCGCCAGCCTCGCCCTGTGCACCGGGCCCGGCTCCGACGGCTTGCTGCTCTCTCTCTCTCTCTCTCGCCGTGGAGCTGCCGAGGACACTCCGTCACGCGGCATCGACTTGCCCGACCATAGGCTTGCTGCTCGCGCTGTCTCGCGTGTTCGACGTCGTCGCGGTCCTCGACTCGATCAAGGACACAAAGGCGTGCCTCTCCAACGACCTCTCCGTGTACAAGCGCGCCTTTGCGCACTGCCGCGCCGACGTCACCAACGCCGACGCGATCTTCAACTCGAACAACGCGCTGCAGCTCTTCCTGGCGGAGAAGGGGCCGCTGCTCTCGGCGCTCAAGGCGGCACGCCCTCGCCACCTCCCGAGACACGCCCTCCTCCCTCTGCCACGGCCACTTCGCCACCCGTCCTCCCGCCCTCCGCGTTGCTCTTGCAGGCGGCAGTGCACCGGCTGCCGGGCGCAGAGGAGTCAATCTCTAGACGCGGGATGCGGACTCTTGTACTCCAGCCAGCTCTGTAGAGAACACGTGCTCAGCCGTATTCGGCCAGCATTGCCGCTGTACTCGTTCTATTCACTGCCTTCATTTCTGCCCACGCGGCGCTCTGAGTACTCTGCACAACTACCGCCTTGCCGCCCCCCCGAGGACGCTCTGAGCACTCTGCACAACACCCGCGTCGCCGCCCCCCCGAGGACGGCGCCTTCCGACAGTAGGAGTCCATCTGCGCCATGGCGCACCTCTGCGCCGAGGCTCGCTCGGCGTGGTGCTGGCTGGCGGGTCCCGCGGCCACGCCCGCAGCGCGCCCACGGCACGGCTGTAGGCGCTCGAAGGCGGATGGTGCTTGCTGCCGGCGGAGCGGCACCGAATGCTGCGCGCCTGCGCGTGCCTTGTCTGGCTGCTCGACTGCCCCGCGGGCGGCGGGCACAACGCCCGTAGAACTCTTCAGCCACACGCCTCTCTCACAGCACACCGGCACGAGACGGGCGTGGTCTGGCGCGCACACACACACCCCACACCGGCACACAACGCCCGAGAAGCGGACTGCGCACTATCGTACTCCAACCAGCGCTCGAGAGGGCACGCACTCCGCTGGATTCGTCGTGTTCGTACCCCTCTGAGTACGCTGCACAGCACCGCCCCCCCGCCCTGAGGTTGGCGTCGTTCCACCGCGCAGGCCCAATGCCTTTCTCTCTCGCAAGCTCCGCCGCGACCGGCTCGGCCGCCTCTTCAAGGTGTCTAGGAAGTGTCTAGGAGGTGTCTAGGAAGTGTCTAGGAAGTGTCTAGGAAGTGTCTCACCCGCCGGCTCGGCCGCCTCTTCAAGGTAAGCCCTGTCGTCCCCCTCTACGGCGACATGCACGCCAACTTGCCCCTCATCCTCCGCCGCTGCCCAAACTTCTCGCCCGCCGCGGCGGCCGAGCTGCTGCCGCACTCGCGGCGCGAGATGGAGTCGCTGACCGGCAGCTATGACGTGGTGGCGGCGGCGGGCTCGCTGCGCAGCCTCGTGGTCGGCTACCCCGTCTCCCTGCCGGCGCCGCTGCCAACCCTAACCTCACCCCAACCCTAACCCTGACCCTAGGTCGACTACACCGCGTCCTTGCCGGCGCTGCTGCGGCGCGCCGAGGCTGTCGGCGGGCGGAGGCTGGGCCGCGACGAGCGCGGCGCGTTGGCGCGCGCCGTCTACGAGCAGGCGCCGCCAGCCGATGGACAAGTTCTCCCTCACACGCTCCCGTCACACGCACAGCCTCACACGCACCCTCACACGCCCCCCCTCACACGCACCCTCACACGCCCCCCCTCACACGCACCCTCACACGCCCCCTCACACGCCCCCTCACACGCCCCCCCTCACACGCACCCTCACACGCACCCTCACACGCACCCTCACACGCACCCTCACACGCACCCTCACACGCACCCTCACACGCACCCTCACACGCACCCTCACACGCACCCTCACACGCACCCTCACACGCACCCTCACACGCACCCTCACACGCACCCTCCCACGAGCAGGTGCTGCGCGGTTGCCGGTACATGGCGGCGGTGCACTCGCGCCTCTCCGAGCTCGTCGCGCGGGGCGGTGTGCACGGCGTCTCTTCACACCGCCTGCTGTGAACAGGTGCACTCGCGCCTCTCCGAGCTCGTCGCGCGGGGCGGTGTGCACGGCGTCTCTTCACACCGCCTGCTGTGAACAGGTGCACTCGCGCCTCTCCGAATTCGTCGCGTGGAAGTGCGCGCACCCTGTCGGCGACGCGGCCCTCGCGGAGAGCGCCGCCGGCGGGCCGTCGGAGGCGGTCAGCCCTAGAAGTGGAGTACGTGTTCTTGGTGTTCCAACTAGCGCTCGAGAGAGCACGCGGCTCAGCTGTGTTTCGCCGTGTTCGGCGTGTGCTCCCTGTATGCCGCACCCCCGCCCTTGAGGCTGTGCATCCACGCCGTAGGCGATCATGGAAGTGTCTAGGAAGTGTCTAGGAAGTGTCTAGGAAGCGTCTAGGAAGTGTCTAGGAAGTGTCTAGGAAGTGTCTGTGCATTCACCCCGTAGGCGATCATGGAAGTGTCTAGGAAGTGTCTAGGAAGTGTCTGTGCATTCTCCCCGTAGGCGATCAACGGGTGAGCTGTCGCGAGAGCGCCGCCTCGCGATCCGTTGCCACATCCGCCCCTTCCCTCACCGCCCACCCTTCCTCGCCCTCGCCTCCTCCTCCTCCTCCTCCTCCGACCTCGCCGCCGCCTCCTCGACCCTCGCCGCCAACGTTTCCTCCCTCGCCTCCGAGAGAGCGTCTGCTCGAGCGCCAACAGCGCGCTGGACACCTCTCAAGGTGAGCTCGTTCTGAAACAGAGAAACTCGGCGCCAGGTACGAGCGCGCGCTGCGGCACAATTTGTCCGCGGCGGAGTGCGGCGCCCTCGTCGAGATGCTGTCGATGCTTGACTCGCTGCGGTCCGCGCTGCGGCGGGCGGAGGGGCGAGCCGAGGCGCTGCTGCGCCACTCTATCCACGAGCAGACGCAGGCGTTTGTACACCCCTACACGCACACACGCACGCACGCACGCACGCACACACACTGACACACACACACACACACACACACACACACACACACACACACACACACACACACACACACACACACACACACACACACACACACACACACACACACACACACACACACACACACACACACACACACACACACACTGACACACCCCGCTCACCCACGCGCACCGGGCCTTGCACTTTGAATGCCGTGGGGCTCCTGTCGTTAGACGTGGAGTCGCGAGGGACTAGCCTGGCCCTTGCCCCGCCGCCCTCGTGTGTGTGGAAACGTGTTCCCTTGCCATCCCTGAGGCGTTTGTGCACGGCGCGCTCGGCCCGACGACGCGCAAGGCGGTCAAGCACGACAAGCCGCTCAAGAAGGCGCTGCTTGGCTTGCGCGGCCTCGCCGCCGACTTCCCGTCGCGAGAGGCGCGCGCGGAGGGCATGGACGAGGCCGTGCTGAAGAGCAAGGAGTTCAAGGCGGGCGACCACGCGCACGACTTCCCGCCGCGCGCCGCCCCGCCGGCGATGACGCAGCTGTGGCTGCTGCGCTCGGCGGTGCGCGCGCTCTCCGACGACCGCTCGCTCTTCGCCCAGAAGAGCTCGCTGCTGGCCGAGCCGGACCTGTCCCGCGAGGTGGCGCTCCCGCGCCCCCCCCCCCCTCTTTCTCTCTCTCGTTCTCTCACCCCGCACCGCACTCACACCCACCCCGCTCGTGGCGCACGCCCGCTCCCTGTCTCATCACGCTTCCTGGGGAAGGAGACCGCAGCATCGCTCCGTGGAGCGCGGCCCTGACTTGCATCTCCCACCGATCTCCCACCAATCTCCCACAAACCAATCTCCCACAATCTCCCGCGACCGCCGGCGGCAGGTGGCCAAGGAGATGCGCTCGTTCTACGTGCAGTCGGCGCACTTTGAGCCGCTGCTGCAGCTCTCCGCCACGGTCGAGGCGCTCCCTCGGACGAGATATGGGGAGATATGGGGAGATATGGGGAGATATGGTCGAGGCGCTCGCTCGGACGCCTCCGCACACTTGCGCGGAGGCCGCGAGGCTGCCTCGAGACCGACCACCCCAGAGGCGCGCTCGTGAGAGCTATAGGCGCTGTCGGACGTGTCCTTCCTGTGGACGCGCGAGTTCTACCTCGAGCTCTGCGACGTGGCGCAGCTCCCCTAGAATCGGAAGAGGGTGGGCGCAGGTCGGTGTCCTCCAGCTACGAGTGCAGCTAGCCGTAGTCGGCCGCATTTCGGCCGCATCTCGGCCGCCTTCGTAGCCCTCGTGCTCACGCGGCGGCCCGAGTGCCTTTACGCTGTACCGCAGGTGCAGTTCCCGACTTCGATGTCGTTGCCGTGGGTGCTCACCGAGCACGTGCTGCGGCAGCGAAACACGCCGCTGATGCCGCTCCTGCTCGCGCCGCTCGGCGTGTGCGACTGCGGCGCCACGGCGGGGCGGGAAGGGCTGCCCGAGGGGACCCGAGACCACCCGAGGGTAGGCGTGTACAACTGCTGCGCCGACGCGGCGCTGCGGCAGCACAAGCAGCAGCACTTGCACGCCGCGACCGAGGGCGAGCAGCTCTGAAGGGGAGCCCCCCTTCCTTGAGGCTCCCGCTCTCACACCGGCGTAGGTATGCCGAGATCGAGGGCGAGCTCGCTCTCGTCTTCGAGCAGGCGCTGTTCACGCTGTCCGAGCAGGTGTGAACAGCGCCTCTTCACACCGCCTCTCTGTGAGCAGGTGCTCTTCACGCTGTCCGAGCAGGTGTTTGCGCACTGCAAGACGCGCGCCTCGCTCATGCTGCTCGACCCGGCGCGGCTCGGCGGCATCGCCGCCGCCGACGACGGCGCCGCCCAGGCGCTCGGCCGCAACTGGTATGCGCCGCTGCTCGCGGAGCGGACCCTCGTGCTGCTCGGCCGCCCCATCGATTTGGCGGCGCAGCTGACGGTGCGGATGGGCGCAATGCTGCGCAGCTCCGTCGACGTCGCCATCTCGCGGTTCGAGTCCAAGGAGCTGCTCGCCGTCGTCGAGCTTCAGGCGGCCAAGTCATGAATAATGACTTGGCACTGAATTAATTAATAAGCTTCCCGCCGTCGTCGAGCTTCAGGCGGCGCTGCGCGCGTGCCGGCTGACGCATGTGCTGCTGCGAGAGGGTTTGCCCGACCTCGACGAGTTCGAGGAGGTGCTCGCGGAGGCCAACGAGGCGGTCGGCTTCCTCTCCTTCTCCTCGCGCATTCTCGACAAGGCGTCTCCCCCACACCTGCATCTCCCCGCGTCTCCCCGTGTCTCCCCACACCTCCCCCACACCTCCCCACACCTCCCCCACACCTCCCCCACACCTCCCCCACATCTCCCCCACATCTTCTCGACAAGGCATGCCCCACATCTCCCCCACACCTCCCCCACATCTCCCCCCTGTCTCCCCCTATCTCCCCCCAATCTCCTCGCGCATCTCCTCGCACCAGGCGACGCGCGACGCCATCGACGACCTGCTGCCCAACTGCGCCTACCGGCAGGACGCCGTCCTCTTCGACCGGCCGCCGCCGACCGCCTTCACGCCGCCGCCCGAGCGCGACAAGGCGCCGCGCAGCACGCCGCCGCACCTGCTCTTCGGCACCAGCCCGCTGAATGCGGAGTACGCCATGCTCGCCGCCGCCGCCGGCACCGGCTTCGGGCCGCGCCATGCCGAGGCGCTGCTCGAGGTGCTCGGCGAGGCCGGGATGCAGGCGCTCTCCCGCGCGCTGAGCGAGCACCTGGCGGCGCTGCTGCCGCACTCGCTCTCGTCGTACGTGCTCGCGCTGCAGGAGGCGCTCCCCGCCGAGATCAAGCAGCCGTCGCACGTCTACGGCGCCGCCGGCTGCCTCGGCTACTACGAGGCGAAGCTGCTCGACCTGCGCGGGTACGAGGAGCTGCACTCGGGCGTGCTGCACACCTTCCGCCGGCTCGGCAACGGCGTCGCCCTCGTCCGGCTCCTCGAGGCGGCGCTCGGGACCCGCTCCACGTTCGCCCTCGGCCAGCTCCCCGTCGAGGGCGGGCAGCCGCCGCTCGTCGCCGCCGCGACCGCCGTCGCGGCGGCGTGGGGGCAGCAGGCGGCCGACTCGGACATGGTGCTGATGGCGGAGCAGCTGGCGGGCGTGTGCGCGCCGGCGCGAAGCAGCGCGTCGCTGCTGCTGCCGCTCCTCGCGCGGCTCTCGGCCGAGCTTGCGCCGCTCAAAGCCTCGTGGCTCGGCGAGGGCGCCACCGCGCTGCACCGCGTCTGGTCGGCCGTCCAGTTCCTCTTCTGCACCGCCGAGCACGCGCCCGGCCTCGACAACGCCGCGCTCTTTGGCGACGGCGTCTCGCTCGCCGGCTGCCTCGTGCTGCACATGCTGGGGCAGCGGCACGCATTTGACTTGCACGCCTTCAACGCGCACGTCCTCGCCGTCCACCTCGCGGGCGGCGCGCCCGCCGACGCGACCCTCGACCGGTACCTCACCCGCGTCGCGCTGCTCAAGCGCGCCAACGAGGCGGCCTTTGCGATGCTCGAGGCACTCGGCTGTGAAAAGCGGTGAACCGATCAGCGAAAATGTCTCACATACTCAATTCTCGAGAGCCCACATTTTTTGAATCGTTTGTTTACTTTCGCCCGAAGTGCGACGAGGCTGGCGAGCCCAATGCCCATTTTTTGTGTATGGTATGTAAAGAGTGACCGGGCGAGAGGCGCATACACACAACCGGACGAGCGGGGCGCGGTGCGCGCGCCAACCTCGAACCTGCCCCTCCCCCCTGGACAGCCTTCTCCCAACACGCCAACCCCCCCTCTCCAGAGTCCAGACTCTACACGCCCTGGAGACCCCACGCGCCGCGTTGCCGCGCGGGCTCAAACACCGATGCCAAGCAGCGCGGTGAGCTTCTTGAGCTGCGTCGCGGCCGAGTAGTCGATGAACTTGTCGCCCATCTCAATGGTGTGCCCTACATTGGGCGAGTGGTTCAAGGAGCGACTGAGCGACACTCGCGGTGGTGTGCAGAGAGCCTTCCTGGGATTGGTGTGGTTGTGGTGATGTTTTGTGGGTGTGGGGAGTGTGGCCGGAGGCGGCGCGCGCCCGAAATGAGGCCCGGGTCCACCGAGTAGCTCACCTGCAAGGGAATGCTCCCGAGGTGTCTCCAGCATGCTGGGAGGAGGAGGGGGGGATGCTCCCGAGGTGTCTCCAGCATGCTGGGAGGAGAGGGGGGGGGGGGGGGGGGGGCTCAGATCGTCTTCTCGTTGCAAACGCCGGTGTATGTGTGTGTGCGCGTGTGCGCGTGTGCGCATGTGCGAGTGTGCGTGTGCGTGTGCGAGTGTGCGCGTGCGTGTGCGCGTGTGCGCTGAGCGCGCGTGTGCGGAATCTCGGCTCTCTCTCGCGTGCCTGGCCGGCTGCGTCGAGCTCCTGGGCGGTTGTCACGTGCGCGGTCACCTAAGGTCAGGTAAGGGGAAACTCGTCTCGACTGGTGGGGAAAGGGGGGAGCAGCCCTCGTCTAGAAGACAGGAGCCCAACGGCATTCAGAGTGCAGGGCCCGGTGCGCGTGGGTGAGCCGTGTGTGTGTGTGTGTGTGTGAATGGGGGGGCGTCACCTCGCCCTTGGCCGCCACCATCAGCTCGTTGAACATTGAGAGCACCTGCCCCGCAGCGCGTCCGGTGCAGTGCTTCTCACGGGGGGGCGCATTCGAGTCTGTGGGTGTGCGCCGGTGGGGTGTGTGCCACGGCCCCTCAGGCGTTGGCGCTCATAGCCTCTCGAGGTGGCTAGACGCCCGCCTTTTTCAGATCTGTCGAGCGGCCGCCATCAGCCACCACCGCCACCGCGTTCTTGCTGGTGGTGCAGCCGCCCATCTTGTCGAGGCACCTGGGCGGGCGCGCCATGCGTCGGCTAGCCGCCCATCATGTCGATGCCCCGGGGCTAGTGCAGCGGGCCCACCGGAACGGGTTGTGTGTGCGCAGAGTCGCTACTGGCCGAGTGGTGGGAGTGGGCGGCGGTGTGGTGCGCACGCGACGAGCGTGGCGGCCTTCTCGGCGCGCGGCACGTTGGGGTTCCCGATGAAGGCCGTCAGCGCCGGCATTCCCTCGAGCGCCTCTGAGAAGGCCTGAGGTGCAGAGCAGGAGCGGTGAGCGCTGGCGAGCTCCCGCACGCCGCGCGCCTCGCGCGCGCTGCGGAGCGCGAGCAGAGCGCGAGCCGCGCGCGCGCGTCCTCTGCCTCTCTGACTCCACTCTCGGCGCGCGCGGCCGTCACCTTGAGGTCTGTGTCGACCTTCTCCAGCTCCCCCTTTTTGGCCGCCGCCGTGTAGATGGCGGTCGCGTACCGCCCGCCGATGCCAAAGAGCGGCAGCGGCGGGGTCTCAGGGAGGCTCGAGAGCGCGCGCGTGCCGGCACGGCGAGTGCGGCCCAGCCCACGCGCGAGCATCGCCCCGCGATCGGCGAGAGTTTCCTCAGCGCCGACAGCGAAAAGAAAAGAAAGAAAACATGTGTGCTCCGAGTAGAGGGGGCGTTCCGCCGCTAGGGGACACCCAAAGCGCAGAACTAACCCTCGGAGACCCGTGTTTACTTTAAGGCCCTTGCCCTGCGAATGCGCACCCCCCCTAGCTAGGGGTCAGGGCTCTCTAGCCCGTAGCCCGATCCCGATCATCCGGCCCGCTGGATGCGCTTCTCAGCTCACCGGCCCTGGATGTGAGGTTACCGACTGCACTCCAAGTGCTCCAAGTGCACGTCAATCGAGAACCAACAAGCCGTGGCGTTGCCGTTACTACGTTACCGTAGGTTGGGCGTAGGGGGTAGACAGCGCCTTAAAATCCACCAGTCTGGGATTTCGCGCAAAAATTTGACTCTGAAAAGCTCGCATATCCCTGCGGTGAGCGCTGTGGTCGCCGCAGACTGGCGCCGACTTGACGGCAGCATGGAGACGTGATGCCTCGCCATGCTGCCGTCAAGTCGAAATCGACATGCGAGTCGATCTTTGGCCCGCCAGAGGGATATGCGGCGTTTCGGGCGACAACAGCGCTGCGACCGCGAAGTGGCGGTGGACATGCTCCCATGTTGCCGACGCGGCGCCGGAGTGGCCGGCGCTGCTCGCCGCGACCACACGACGGCTACTCTGATACTCCGGGCCGGCCCGTCCTACCCGACGGTGGCACTCTTCCACGTCTCGCTCACGCTGAGAAAAAATCTGAAAGTTAACGGCGTGCAGCAGAGTCACCGACGAGTCGGTCCGCGTGACTCCTCGTGTCCCGTACCGTTCTCACACATCCATAAACTCACTTTGGCCTCACTGAAGCGATGCCTGAATCCTTAATCCTCGGATTTTAGATTAGGAGATAGGACGCTGTCTAGCCCCTAGTTGGGGGGCAGGGGGGGAGCGCGGGGTCCGGGGAGAGGACAGAGGTCGCAGGTCGGACGTGCACGTGGGTCAAGTACGAGTTGCATTTACGGGTTCGCGTGTATGGCTATGGGCTGCCAGCCTCGTTTATGGTCCGAAATAAGAATTTTACAACAAAACTCCCTCGCACAACACTGGGCACGGGACTGGCGCGCACTGGCACTAACACAGGTACACCGAAATAAGAACCTCGTTATCAAAAGACACATCCCGATCTTGCGAGCCATCCCTTCTCGAGACGCATCCGAGCCCGCGCCGAGCTGCGCGCCGAGCGCGCACATGCCATCCGTCATGATACAGTACGAGTGAGGGTTACGATTCATTCCCGTTGCATTCTCCGACTTGCGGTTGCGCCGTCGACCCTGGGGTGTCGTACATGGGGCTTCATCCCACTTAGCGCTACGGTCCGCGTCGGCCTACCGATTGGCCTCGAGGGTAACGGGGCCGCGCATCGATCGGCCTCCTCGAAAGCACCGCAGGGCGCCCCCTAGGATTGGGACGCCGTCCGACCCCCCTCTCCTAGAGCCGCTTTTTGTGCGGCCCGAGCTCCGTCTTGGACGCCTTCTTGTAGCAGCAGCGCGCGCCGCCGACGGGCAGCGTCGAGAGGATGGGGCCCTTGAAGAGCTTGCAGCGGGACGCCTTGCCTTCGACGGCGTACTCGAACCCTGCGCGGGCCGAGGCGCGGTGTGCTGCGAACAAGAGGAAGGAGCTGAGGTGGGGGGCGGGTGTGGGGGGGTGGGGGGGGGGGCGCCGGTGCAGCCGCGGCTGAAGAGACAGCTATCGTGGCACGCAGTGTAGGACTTGCCCCAAAGCTCGTCAAGGTTGCCCTTGTTCTGGTCGTCCGTGCGGCACACGCGCTGTGGCCCGGGAGGGGGAGGGAGGAGGAGGGAGGGGGGGCGAGGGAGGGGGGTGGTTGGGGGGGGGGGGGGGGGGCCCCCCCAGTGTTAAACAATTAAAAGGACGGGTCATGTGCCGCCCCCCCGGGGGCAGCCGGG